TAGATGGTCTATTTTTGGTCTGTCTGTCTGTCAAAATTTAGACTTTCTAGACTATCGGGAATGACCCAATAACAAGTTCTAGTACTGCCCTACAGTACAATTAAGTATGTACGGCTCGAACCACTTTAATTCGAACTCTATTCAAAACTTCCACAAAACGAATAGCAAGTGGAGTGACTAAAAAAAGAATAAACCAATGATATACCTATAATCTGGCTGGCGCTTTAAGTCAACAAACGGCTATGCTCGTTTGTGGCCAGCAATACCTTACTCTTGCGTGTAGAACTTGTACGAGAAGAATGTAGGGTACTGAATTAAGTCCATGAAGGCACGGGAAGACGAGAATCACAGATTATCTGTCCAGCCAGCAACTCCAAGCGCATAGCGTTAATAAATTCAAATTCGAGTCTCTACTTGATCGCGAGATCTCTCAATCGTCATTATTCATCACTACGACTAAGGCAAGTGTTTCTWGGCCATCGAATCGAAAAACCTCACAGCTGTACCAGCATTAGAATAGATCGCAGCCATAGATATTCAAAATGGCGGACCAGTCGCAAATTCAACAGCTCGCGCAGCTTTTGCTGGCCGCACAACAGAGCAGTAAGTTCCTTACGAAAGAGACGACAGCCTTGGAGTCGAGTTTRCTTCGATTTGACGCGTTGAGTTGAATGAAAAGAATCATGTCGATGATTCCATGACTATCTGCCCATACTTGCTCTCTGAYAAACCGAACACTRATTTAATCTCACGTTTGCTTGCYATATTTTCTTTTATTTCAGATCCGGATGCCGAACGACAACTGAATGAATTCAAGAACTCGAACCTCGGAAACTACTTCCAGGGTCTCGTCAGCGTCTTGGCGACCGATGGAATCAATACGGACCCCCTCGCCCGACAGCTAGCTGGTTTGTTGGTAAAAAATGCCCTCAAACCTCTCCACAGCACAGAGCACGCTTTGCAAGCGCAGTACCACAACGCATGGAAGGCCCTGGATCCTGCCGTTCGGGACAGCATCAAGGGACCGTTGCTGCAAGCCATGCGTAATCCCGAAACGGGGGTCAGCCATCCCGCTGCACAAGCTGCTGCGGAAGTTGCTGCCGTGGAGCTACCGTACGAGGAATGGCCGGCCTTTTTGCCGTCCTTGCTGGAGAATATCCGCGTTGCCGAATACACCGAAAACGTTAAGGTTGCAACCTTGGAGTGTCTGGGATACTGCTGCGAACGYATTAGTTTTCTTGGAGGCGAAGTCAACCAGACCTCTACTGATTCCATGTTGAGTGCTATTGTCGAYGGAATTGGTGCGTCTCGCTCAAACAGAATGAGACATGCCGCAGCTGGAGCTTTGAAAAATTCCCTCATGTTTGCAGAATCCAACATGGAAAARCAGGAGGAACGCGGGGCCATTATGAATGCCTTGATGGAAGCAACTCGTAGCGAGGACGCACAGGTTAGAATCGCAGCATACGAAGGTATCGTTCAGGTTGCTTGTCTCTATTACGCAAAGCTTAGTGAATACATGACAAATCTGTATCAGCTGACAACATCTACTATCCAGCAGGACAACGAGGAAGTTGCCAAGATGGCGATTGAGTTCTGGACTTCGCTTTGTGAAGTAGAACAAGACCTTATCGACGAGGAACTTGAGATGAGACAGCGTGGACTACCAGTTGAACGTCCATGCATGCGCTACGTTGATGCCGCCATGACACATTTGGTACCGATTCTTTTCGAAACGCTCATGAAGCAATCCGAAGACCCAGACAACGACGATTTTATTTTGCAAATGGCGGGGCAGCTTTGTCTAACAAGTATCAGCCAAACTGTGGAAGACAAGATCGTTGGAGCCGTGATGCCATTTGTTACACCCAACATCCAAGACTCAAACTGGCGCAAGCGTGATGCCGCCGTCATGGCCTTCATCAGTATTCTAGATGGTCCATCGTCCGACGCTATCGGACGATATGTAACGGAATCGGTTCCATTGCTCCTTAATATGCTTAAYGACGAGAACATAATTGTTCGGGACTCCACAGCCCATTGCATTTCCCGAATTTGCTTCTTGCACGTTGATTTCATCCCGAACAATCAATTTAAACCACTTTTGGAAGCGCTCACGACGAAGTGCAGTGACGGATCACCAAAGGTTGCAACTCAAGCTGCAACTGCAATCTTTAACTTGGCAAGTGCTGTTTCGGATCGACAAGAGGAAGATGCTCCAACRAACGCTCTCTCTCCATACATGCAGGAAATTCTACAGCAGTTGCTAAAAATGGTAGACCGCCCGGATTCAGACGACGAATGCAATCTCCGACTTGCCGGTATGGAAGCGATCTCCGAACTTATCTCAGTCTCTGCACAAGATAATTTTGGCCTTCTTAGTCAGCTTCTCCCAGCGTTTGTCGAACGCTTCAAACAAGCTTCGGCAGTGGCCGTCCTGAACGAGGAAGACAAGAACAACAAAGAACAGATCCAAGGTTTGTTGTGTGGGGTCATCCAAAATCTTTACCGCAAACTTGACAAAGCGACTCTTTTGCCTATGACGGACGACGTCATGCTCTTGCTGTTGGATGCGTTATCTGTTAAGAATTCAAGTTGTCACGAGGAATGCTTCACTGCTGTTTCTGCCATCTCTGATGCGATCGAAGATGATTTCGTGAAGTACATGGATGCATTTGCACCTCACTTAGTGAACGGCCTCAGRAATTTCCAGGCCTATCAAGTCTGTATTGTCGCAGTTGGAACAGTTGGCGACATTAGCCGAAACATCGAAGGAAAGATTCAACCCTATTGTGATACTATCATGAACGCATTGGTTGATGACTTGAAAGATAGCTCAATTCATCGATCCGTGAAGCCACCGGTGCTCTCTTGCTTTGGTGACATCGCCATGGCGATCGGCGCTGCTTACCAACCATATCTTGAATTTTCGGTTCTTATGTTGATGCAAGCCTCACAGACACAGGTTCCCGATGACGACGATGACCTCATCGACTACCTTAATTTGTTGAGAGAATCCATTTTGGAAGCCTTTGTCGGAATTATTCAAGGTCTCAAGGATGGAAACATGCTTGGAAGCTTTGCCAGCTACGTCTCACCCATCTTGGAATTCTTGAAGGTTATTGCCGAAGACAAGAACCGCGATTCATATGTTCTCAACAAAGCCGTTGGATTGCTTGGAGATTTGGCGCAAACTATGGGGCCACCTATTAAGAACGAAATCAACAAACAATTCGCAATGAAGCTAATTCAGGATGCGATGGCCAGCGGTGATTCATCTTTGCAAGAAGTTGCAACCTGGGCCAGTCAGGCAGTAACAACCGTCGTTCAATCGTAAGAACAAACATGAATCAAATAAAACGCCAGCTACGGAATAGGTCCCTAGCGAGTCTGCAATTGCTAAATCTTTGCAGGTTCGTTGGGCACCTACTGAACTATCTCTCACTTTCTGCCATGCTATGCATCGCAAGAACAACTTCAGTATTGATTTGTACGACGTCATTAATAAACGAACAAACGAATAAATCAATCAGTTGTTTTCTYCGCAGGATGGAAGCGAAATCTTGATCGCTTCATGCCCCTGCCCTTCACAATACAAAATCGTTTTGCGCCCCGGTACAGTTTTCTAATGTTTCAAGCCGTGTCAGTTTCGAATTCTCAGCATTCTGTAACTGGATCCACGAGGCAGCAACGAGACAGAAAAGTACACCTTCAGAGCTGTACTACCACTGTCCTATCTTCTACATCTACCCACTTTCTGGAGCGACAGGAATTGGAATTTGAGATTCTGAGATTAAATACTTTAAGCAGAATTGATCTGTTAGATACCGTTATGAAATGACTTGTTTCACGATTTACGAATAAGTATCATGTATTGTTCAAGGCCGAAGCACTAGGAAACATCAYAAGAGCTTCGACATGTTCCATGCATATGTCTGATGGCTGAAGAAGTTTCTTTCTTGTTGCTCCTAATTGACGGGTTCAGGAAGTTACAACCTCCGCGTTAGGTGCTGACTTCCTCGTTCTCCCATTAAATTCTTCTATTCATAACRGGTGTATCCGTATTCTTCCCGTAATAGTRTGCATTAAGTGTACAACTGATTGAACAAGAAGTAACAGTAGTAAGAAGGGTTGCTTGTTTTTTGGTAAAAATTGGCTACGGTTCACTGGACTACCTCTTTTCACTTGTGTACCGTACAGGATTTCATGGCAAGAAAAATTCTCGCCGCTCTGGACTTCGAGGTAAACAAAAAAGCATGTTGTTGTTTGTTTAGAATCCATCTACAGTACCATAGGCCTCAGTATCCCAAAATACGGTAGCAAATAGAAAATCAGTTTTCTTTCACCCTCTCACTCACAGTAGTTTTTGCAACTACGAAACGTTCGCGAGCCAATCCACGAAGATGATTGATGAGACTTTTTTGTCAGTCAACCCATTAATTTTTTTAGATTTTGAGAAATAAAAAGGGGGGGAATAAGTAGATGCCCGACTGGCGCGCATCCGCAGACGTATCCGTTGCCTGCGTGATATCTGTTGGTTTTTGTGGAAAGCTTCACAAAATTAATGCTTCTTTCGAAATAAAGTTTGTACCGTACAGGGCGGGAATACAAAGAACTGCGAGTGATCGTAGGGTAAAAATTATTGTTGACAGTATCTTTCACAACCTATCACAATTTTATACGGTACGAACCTCGTCTACAATTCAACATAGAAAACAAGCTKGTCGTCAGCATTAATTTACTCCTACACAATTCGTAATGAAACTTCTTTTCAGTATTCTTGTTTTTGCCATCTGCAATGATACGGTAGAGTCCTATATCACTGGTTCTTCTCCAATTGGCGGAGCCAATTGGATGAAGGGCAACAATGCTATCAACCACATCAGCACCAAGAAGGCTCCTTCTACTGAGACAACCGCAGCTGCTGATGTCGAAGACCTCTTTCGGAAAGAATACAACGAGTGGGCCACTCGTTATGGCAAAACGACCACCGATGAACGCCGCTTTGAAATTTTTAAGCGCAATTATATGATGCAAATGCAGCACAACAAAAAGACGGGCTCCTTCAGGCTTTTAAACGAGTTCGGGGACAGTGAGTATTACCATGTTGTGTACAGTATAAAAGGTGACGTTTACTTTGAGGCGAATCAAAGATCTCACAATATAATCCTTGTACATGATTTCTTCTCTTTTTTTACTTCTGATCACTGCCATCGTCTCTATCATTGTACGGCAGTGACTGAAAAGGAATTCGAACTCGGGGAGTACGAAACACAGAAGAGTGAAAATAGTCCGAAATCTGCCGATAATGTAGTGGAAGTAGAACTCGTCATGGACGATCCTGTCCCCAAAGTCCGTATGCTAGATTCGGAAACCATCCCGAGAGTCTCGGATTTTGAGATTCCTCACAACCGATGGAGACACGAAATTACTCAGCAGCAGCAACGGCAGCGCCAGCAAGCCCCCGYCGRCTTTGAACCAAAGGTGAATCCAATTCGATACCCATCGATGGAAGAACCTAGAAGAAGGAAAAGGCGTGTGGTTCGGTTGCAGGTTGGACCCGACCGGATTCTTTGAGTTGGTTCTAATCTAAAACCTGGAAACGTTCCCTGATTTTTCAGATACATTATACAGGCATATTATGTGTGTTATGCTCTCTCTTGCACACACAACACGCGACACACAACCACACACAGAGAGACATAGACAAAAGATGCGCGCGCATGTATATGAAATATGTACATCAATACCGTCAAAGAAGGTCTGAAACGCATCCATCTCGGAAGCTGCCGTTCTTGGTGGAACTTGGATATGTGTTCCTAACATGTGTCGCTGCTACCACTTTCTACTCAAGCTCACCAAAGGCCGAGATTACTGCCCCAAATCGAAGATGACGTTTAAAGTAAGATTTAGTATTTCTTAATTATTGGGTCATTCCCGTTAATCTAGATTGACTAGATTTGATAGACGGACGGATGTAAAAGATTGACCAAATCTAGTCATTTTTGATCCAACCTGCAACCCCCATTCAAAAATGACTAGATTTAGTCTTGAATCCACAAAATAAAATTTTTGAGTTGTCCATTGAAAGACTCAATAGAAAGGCCCACCAAATTTAAGACTTGAACAGTCTAAACAAAATAACAAGTAGCGCCTCCACTAAGAATGGCGCCACACACAAAAAAGAATGTCCAGAACACTGCTCCTAGTCACTAAATTTTATCTCTTCTCTMTGCTGATACAGAGAGAGAGAATAAGGAACAGGGGATTGCAGGYCTGGCCCCCCAAATCCTATATATTAAGATAGATCCAACGGCAAATACTACCGGYAACACAACAAAGAAGAAGGACGGATGCAAKGCCAGTATGGCAAACTACTCTGACGACAAGCTGGAGTCCCTCTTTAGTTGATTTGTGAAGTAGTTCCCATTTGTCCACAAACACAGCTGCAATGATGAGTAGCAACAAGTGTCCTTTTGATATATTCCTAGAGGAATCAAATGCAGCCATGGTGCKAATTGAATTGTTATTCCCCATGGTGATTATTTAAAGATGRTTGTTTAAGTTACTGTTGGTTATTTCAGTTAATGTTACCATTGCAAAGAATCCATATAATGAGCTCCTCCACTCTGAGTTATCAGTACTAGCGCAAGTAGTGTTATGAGCTCCTCCATGTTTTGTTATTGTGCAAAGCCAGTATTGTGTACTACAGTTAGCATCACTTTGAGAATGCTTTGAGTCTTTGATACAGAGTATTTCCAATATATCAAATTTTCCTGTAATGGATGAAAGTACTACWAATGAGCAATGGGATCTAATATCACAATTTCTTCTGCAATGAAGATAAACCATAAACTAGTGACTACATAATCTAATCAATATTGTATTAATGCATCTGAGAGCCAATGGTGTATGTGAGAGCAGTTGTGAATGTCAACGTGAATACCAAAGGAAACCTGGTTTGTGGGATTGTGCGTGTGCTTACCACTAGGGATCTAATGAGTCCTAATCCTGGATTCCGTACGTGAAAATCAATAGTACTAGGAAATAACTCATTGTTGCAATGATAGTTCATTCTTAGAGTAGCTCATTATTTGCTATCACACAGTTCCTAACCGCTGCAGCTTCCTCACAGATCTAATTGATCTTAACAATAGTTTACCACGGGAATTCTCATCAAACTCAATYGTTTGAATCAGGGGACAACACCAATATCCATGTGTGAGAAGTACCCAGCTTCAAGTGTTGTCTTCACGTACAGTAACTGGATAGACTCAGGATGAGGATATGCTCCCTATCTTTCAAGGCAAAGGCTGAATCAACAACAACCCAAACCCCAACGCCACCTTGACAAGTGTTGTTAATGGTCTCCACCTTGTCATATCATATACCATTGTCAGTAGCTGCCATGTCATGTACCAGGACAGTTTAGAATCCCAATCCTGACCCTGGCATCTGGAGCAAAAACCAAGTACACTTTGTTGTGTTCAAAAAGGTACATTCCTTCTTCCAAGCATTGAACAACGCCTGGTTACATCCTGAGTGGAAGAGGTGGTAGCAGGGAGACTCAGCATACCTACAGATTGCTATCCTCAGCGTCCTCCTGTCCCTCATGTCCAAAAAGACTGACATTTAGCTGGTAGTCTGTCCATATTCTATTTGTCTAGATTGACTTGAGTACTAGTCATTTTAGATGTTTAGTCAATCTAGATTAACAGGAATGACCCATTGTGATACAAATACAAGTATCATAGTATTACTCTACAACAACTAGGGGTCAGCAACACAATGATATCTGAAAAGTTTTGCACTGAGATGGTCCTCAACACCTTTTCCCAAAAAATCAAATTTTGCAGCTACTACTAGTACACCATACTTCTAGTAGTACAAAGTCCTCCCTGCAATATCAGAATGAAGCTTAGTGGCTAGTAGATTGCTGATGATCCTCTGCGCCCTATTAAATATTCTTTCTGATGGAGGAGCAGATGTTGCTTGAACAACAAGAAACTTCCTTTCTAGAACAGCTAATGTTCTTGGAACAAATTGGTTCATTTTATTCCCCATCATTCTTGTAGAGGGTTGGAGTGCCTGGTCTTGTTGTCTCTCTTCTTGTCCTCCATCTCAAAGGGTGCAAGTTGGGGATGGGACATGTATCTAAGCAGCTCCAGATTTCATGTATTCTTGATACTCTTAGGATTGGTAGACACTGCTGCAGCTTTTTGCTCTTTTTGTGCCTGCCTGTYGCTGCATAAGAATCATCATCAAAGAAGGGTCCAACTCTTCTGTACTAGTAGTACTAATGTTGCTATCACCAATAGCAGAGGCTGCCACAGAGTCAATGCTGTTGCTGGTAGCATCATACAACTACTACTACTAGTAGTATTCCGAAAGTAATTGTAGTAATATTAACTTCTACTACTAGTACTACTAGTAGTGTACTAGAAGGTCTAAGAATTCATCTGAAAATTCAGGAACCATGTCGATTTCGATGTTTTTAGAAAAAAATTAATTCTCTGGTCCCCTTTTTTCATTTTGTGATCAGTTTTGATCACATTTTTTTCCAACGGATTAGAATTAAAATTTACTTTATTATTCCATGAATATTTTAATTACGTATATATATATATATATTCATGTATAAAATTATATATAGTCATATTAGTAGCACGTTGGGTTAATTCTTAATAGGGCATATCACTTGCAACGAGTACCGTAGGAACAGTACGGAGGATCACTCGTGGATCCAATCATGAATCCCCAGGACCCAAAACTATATATCTATATAGCTTCCTGTCTATATAGTACTACTAGTATACGAGTACGATTGTACGAGTACTAGACAGTATACTACATATATATATATATATATATATATATATATATATTGAAGCTTCACTATACCAATACATACAGATCAGTATATAACTATATACAGATATTCTTCCTCTCCACTAATTCTCAGAACGAGAATTGGAATTCAGAACAGAACTAGTTGATTGGGAGTTCTGTTCCGAAGTCACTCAGTACAAGCAGTACCAACTCCTACACTATCCGAGAACTGAAGAAGAAGCTCACACTTGACTTGTACTGCTTGGATGTACTTTTCTACTATCGATTCTAACTCACTGAATCCAGTATAACACAGGAAAGCGTGTAGACCGATGGATTCCTGGAGTTAACTATTTCCCATTAGTTTTAGTCACACAATCCTAATTTAGATACAATCTAAATACTACTACTACTAAAACAATTCAGTACACGTTATTTTGTGCATCACTATGCTCTTGGTACAGGACTGGTGTACTACTAGTACTAGTACGTCACACAAACCGGATCTATGGTATCGCTCGTTTCACGTGGTTGACACCATCAAAGTTTCAGGGTCAACCCTTAGTCTTTCGTGATTGGATAATAGTTTAGAGAATTCCCGCACAACTTCATTTATCCAGAACATGTTTCCAAAAACATGCATAATTTTACTTTCAAAGCATGAAAAAACTCATCCTCTGCGTGGAACTTAGCTTTGTTCTTTATCATGCCCCCCCCTAAGCTAAAGGTATTCTGTCAAAACTGTTATGGCTCAAGAGATCGGAAGAACCAGCGTCCCCTATTTTACAGTGCCAAGCAAGACAAAAAATCCGGCGTTATAACCTCACCGAAGCTACTCCTCACTCATCTTCATCTCAGCAAGGATTGCTTCGAATATTACGTGTATGTCGGGGACGGGATCCATGACTTCAGTTCGTTGTTGTTCAAGTTTTGTTTAACTAATACCCAGGACGGACCATCTGGTGGCATGCCGCAGAATCTCAACGACCAAGTTATGTACAACCCATCCGTGGAAGTAGTCAATTGTGTGTTAATAGACTCTGCAATGGAATCTGTTGATTCTGATCTGGACGATGATTTTATCTATGAACCCGCTAATCAGGAGGAGTGCTCTGACTTGGTTCTGGTTGATGTAACAAAAACACCATTCCAATATCGATTGTTACCTCCCTCAACTAAAGTCAAAATTAAGTTAATGAAGATCATGAGAGACCACAATATACCCTTAGTCGCCAAGAGGGAGCTTTATGAATGGGCTATCGAATCGGAGAGGTTGTCAGGTTTTACCTGGAGTACTGGATCCAGCTTGATCAAAACTCGCCAATCTGTTCTAGAAGAATGCTACCAAGCAGTTCCTGAACTACATGGTGATTGTTTTACACCGCAGCTTATTGAATGGCGTTCTAATAACAAAGTTGGCGACAAAGTAATCTATGTAAGATCCTTTAGACGAGCATTGCAATCTCTCTTGACCAATGTTTCATTRATCAAAGAAGAAAATTTATCTTTTCCCAATGAAAACAACCCCACTTCTCCTTGTCGAGTTCCCAAATTTACGTCGGACTCTCTCATTTGCGAACTTCACCACGGGGAATGGTGGGTCGAAACTTGGAAAAAAAAATGTCATCCGGATAACGACAAATTGTTGGTTCCCATTATATTCTACATGGACGGCATTGCAAAGACAGACATGGAAGCACAACCCTTTTCCCATTGAATATGACTCTAGGTATATTCAGTGATTTTACCCGATCCACTAGGCCAGATGCTTGGGAGACTCTTCACTACTTCCACCCTCAAGGAAAAAGCAACGTGTCTGCATAATGGTCTACGGGCCGCTCTTGCATCATTCCGTGCAATTTGTGAATCKWCAGATGATATTTGGTGGCACAATTGTCCATGGAATGGTAAACTCTGGAATGTTAGGTTAAAGTTTGCTGTTGCTTTCTTTGTAGGCGACACGGAGCAACACGACAMGTTATGTGGGCACTTCACTTCTRCTAATACAAAAATGATCTGTCAACACTGTAACTGTCCTTGCGCGCTTGGAATCAACTCTAAAGTAAACATTCTTAATGCCTCAATTTCGAACGAACTTGATGCTCTGCAAAGTGAAACCGGAAGTGAAGACAATGAGGACAATTCTGAGGACGATTCTGACCAGGCAACAAGTGGGAGTACTCTAGATGGCCCACTGAGCAAGAAGAGGCGGGTGACACGCACCAACACCAGCTTGCCACTGCATTCTCCTCTTAGTTTATGGCACCCTTTTGATTTCACACAGTCCACTGGTGTACCTGTTGGTATGAAATACTGGTATTATTTATATGGATATTAAAATAGAATATAAATAACGGGACTAGTATAAAGTGTACATACATTAGTTTGAATTTGTGATCAAGATTGATCACAAAAAACTGATCACAAATTTGTTATTTCTGATCACATTTTTTTGTGATCAAAACTGATCACAATTTTTGGTACCAGGAGGGGGTCATGGGAATCTAATTTTTTCCAAAAAAATTGAAATCGACATGGTTCCAGTCTTGCCTAAATATTTAGTCCCATTTGAAGTTTTTGTTCGATTTATTTGATCGTACAGACAGCCCTTCCTGACTTTCGAAAAACATCATTTTTCTAGGGCACGAATAAGAAAGTGAATTGAGAGAAAAATATGGTCGTACAAATCAAGAACTTCAAGAGACATTCACTGCACAATTTTTAGAAGCAATTGATCCAACTAAATTCAAATAAAATCAAAATGGTTGTTAACAGAGAGGGAATGAAGTGCCTAATGTCCTTAGACAAACAAGAGGCAAAGGGAGGCAATGGGGGCTATGCGTTTGATTCCGGTTGCAACATTTCCGGCCTTCGCAAAGTTCACATCCATGCTGGACCATATGCTCACGGCACCGTCAAATATCATGCATTGATCAATAGAGTWTTCTTTGAATTCGACACCCCCTTTCATCAAAACAGTGAGCAGGAACCTTGCATTCACGTTTTCGGCGGAGTTGAAATGCATGCAAAAAATACTACCTATAGTGTATTTCTAGTCCCGGAGAACGATCCCATTGCCCGTATCGATGTTTGGTCCGACAACCTTGTCACYGGTCTTCAATTCACAATGGCCTCGGGTGCAGTATCTCAAGTATATGGATCTATATCACCTACAAAATCTAGCAAATCTTCCTTCGAACCAAAAGATGATTCTCTGTGGCAGTTGGTCGGAATTCATGGATCCTGTGGTACTGTCGTTGACAGCCTTGGTTTTACATTTGGAAGAGTTAGTGAAGTAGTCAACAAAGATGACGAAATTGGCAGCCGAGATTTTAAATTTGAAAGAGTTGCCACTGTTCTCTCTGGTGAAGTAGTCAACAAAGATGACGAAGAAAACTGTCAATGATAGCTGTTGGCGATCCATCCCTCTGCTTCTATTTCTGGCACTTATGTGAGTAATGCGCCGATGAAGCAGCAATTTCAGCACAAACTTCAAGCAGCACAGCGAAACAAGAAGATGTATCAGAAAGTACTCTATTGAACTAGTCAGACAGCTTGTTTCTTGTTTAGAACATTAATTACGTTTCACCTTGTTACAAGGAGGGAACATACATCTACATCAATTATCACTGATTTTACTAATTTCCACCGAAAGTGTCGTTGTAGCTGTTCTGTGACTATTTTTGTTATTGTATGTAGGTTTAAAAAGTGCTCTCGATGCCTTTTTTTCGTATTTAGCATTGTGCTGAACCAAACTGTGTTTCGGAAATTCCCGRCAAGGGCTACGGACAACAGAGCAAGACTCAGAAAACAAGATACTGCTCTGGTTTTCAATATCGCAAGCCATGACGTGGGATACCTTAGGGTGAACGGAATAATGAAATTTCCTATAAGACACAGGCAACGAACGATGCCACAGGCGGAGACAAAACGGGCTCACCAAGCATACCATACCTTACCATGTCACAAGAAGGTTTATGCTCCGACAAGCAGTCGGAGCTACTAGCAAAGAGCAGTAAAAGTATCGTATGAGTATTTGTATTGTACTACAAACGATTGTAAGGCGACTTTTGCTCGTTCGTTGCAGCCATTGGCTCCCACCCTTTCCCATGTCCGGTGTCGAGCCGTAAACAATATTTTAGCAAGTGCTTATAACACTGCACTGATGGACGAAACGCAGTGCGCAAACTATACTAAGGCTTGAATTCTGAGTTACAGGATTGATACGACGCGGTACACTTCAAAGCAAGACGAATATGATTTTAGTTTATAACACGCCAATTGATCAGTTCACAAGAACCAGCAGCAGAMCGTTTTGTCGCCGGATCCTTGCGACCGATGCCGCCAGGGATGGTTGCAATGCACGAGGCTCGATGAAGGGTTGATGGATTCGTCCAAAGCAGAGTTATCGASTTCCGTTGAGAACGCACAGTATCCCACCGCYGCAGATGGATCGGAATGGAACCGGGTCGAAATCGAATCGACGCGAATCAATCGACCCGGCCAAACCCAGACACACGGCACGGCGGCACTCACTGCCTACCACTTCGCAATGCGGCGCTTGACGCTGACTCCATTGAAGTTTCCTCCGATCGGGATCGGCAAACCTCGGTCCTTGTACCATTGCACCATTTCTTTGCATTTTTCGTCGTCGGCTGCCCAGGTCGGTGTCGGAAGCTGTTGCAAAGAAAAAGTGCATCAAAAGGAAAAAAACACGAGCAGACAATCGAAACAAGAAATCAACATTCTGGTCAGCAACTGTGTGATTTCGATGGATCTAATTCAAAAAATGAAAACGCAACGAAGCAATATTAAAAAAAAGAACACTTCGATTGTTGCATACAAAAAACATTGCGGTGTTCGTTCGTTTCGTTAGCATACTCACGTGGTCCGGCATGTGCTTGTCCAGTTCCGCAAAGAGCTCGTCGTTGGTGACGGACATRACKGCCCGCAGACCGCTCAGGCCGGTCTCCGACTTTCCGTTGGCAAAGATTCCACCGTTTCCCTGCGACGACAGGGGGCCGGCCGCAAGGCGTTCCTTGGCCGCAACGACCTCCGGATCGTTCTCGTCGAGCATGTCCAGCTTGATCTGCTCCACGTCCGGGTGTGGGAACTCGGGATCCACGTACCGGCGGCGGGTGTCGCGCTTGAAGTATCCCGARTCGTAGGGATCGTCGTCGAGGTCCTTGGTAGGAATCTCCACAAAGGGCTGGCTACCCGGAGATACCTCGCGGATGGCGACGGATTCCTTTCCGTCCTTGCTGTAGATGTGCTTCTGGTTGGGGTAGGGCAGCTGGTTGAGGTTGTTTGGATCCTCGGGCCAGAAATAAAAGAAGCCCTTGACCGTGTCGAAGGTTTCGGGGCTCATCTTGTCCCGGAAGACGCGTTCCATCCAGCCCCTCCAGGGCAAAAAGGGCTCCTCGGTGGTTTCCTTGGCGGGCTTGATGGAGGGAGCCTCTTCTTTCGAAACGGCACGGGGGTATTCGAGTTCCTTTCGGTTGTCCCCTTCGGTGGAAAAGGAGGCTCTCGCGGCGGAGGCCCTGCCGGCGGTCTGCATTCCCCTGGATGCAACCGCGCCGGCCTTCCGGATAGCGTTGACTCTCATCATGGTTCGCTTTGCTTAGCTAGGTTTTATTTTTTTTATTTTTTTTCTCCCTTTGCTCTGCTTTGCTTCGACTAGCTATAATGCGTTGTCTTCGATTCAAAGTCTAGTCACCAGTGCTTTCGGATTCCGGTGCAGAGTGCTCCTCTTTCTTTCACAGAAAACGATGTCTTGACACTGCATCAACGATAGCAACGAAGTACCTCTTGAATCGGTTGCTGATGGAGCTGTTGACGAAGTCGCTCTGTACGGTGCGTTCTCGTGCCAGTTAGTACGTAGATCGCATTCGTAGCTAACTGAAGAGGCGATGCGTCGCTGCTTCAAAAAAACCAACGCCGTTGTTACGGACGACGACGCGCGGCAGAGCAAATGGAATTTCTTCACGCCGTATTTTTGGGATGAAAAAATGGGGGGAGATGCGCTTATCCCCCTCAAATCATGAAATGGTGCAAAATTAATTCAAATTGGCATTCGAGACAGGGAAAAATGAAGAAATAATGAAAAATGAACGTCTAACGCCCAGTGTTACGCGACTCCGTACTAGAAGTGCTACGGTTTTGTTGAGTTTTGATCGTGCCTGGTCATAAAAAATTAACTGCATGCAAGGCCTTCACATAACCAATACAAGTAGTACCGTACGACAACAATTTTGCCAAAGCCGAGGCTTCAGCCTTTTGTGTCTGTGTGTTTCCTAGTTCTCCTGCCACAGCAAACCCAAAGCACCACACCACACCACACCAACCACCGAACCAATCAATCCATCCATCGACATCGCAAAGAAAGCATGGTATTTCGATCGATCTACGAAACCCTGAGATCCCTCGCCGACTCCCTGTGGAAGGCCCTGGGGTTCTTCGAGGGCAAGGAGGGGTCCCTCGTGGTCCTGGGCCTCGACAACGCCGGAAAGACGACCATGCTGCACCGGCTGCGCACCGGCGGCGACGTCCGGAGCTTCCCTCCGACCGATCGTCCCCAGCAGACGGAAACCTTCGCCACCCCAGGAGGCGTTTCCTTCCGGGCCTGGGACCTCGGTGGCCACGAGGCGGTCCGGCACCTCTGGGAGGACTACGTCTGCGAGTCGTCGGCCGTCCTCTTTCTGATCGACGCCTCGGACACGGCACGGTTCGAGGAAGCCGGTTTCGAGCTGGACGCGCTGATCGGAGAAAAGGTCGTGGAGGACCTGCCGGTGGCGATCCTGCTCAACAAGTGCGACCTGGAGAACGCGGCCTCTTCCGCGGAGGTCTGCAAGCAGATCCACTTCGACGACCTAAGGGAAATGCAGGGGGAGGACAAGATCGAGGTCTTTCGCATGTCGGTGCTCCGGGGGGAGGGCTACCAGGCGGCCTTTCGGTGGGTGGCGGGGTTTTTGTAGCTTGCGCAGATCCATCGACCCGCGCGGTCCCATGCGACAAGACGGGATGCGACTCCGTGCGATCCCGCGCCACGCCTCAATGAACCGATCGTGCTCCGAGCCACGAGGCCAATGGAGGCATGTGCCACGCCACCGGAACGAACCCATCGGGGATGGGCTGGCCTGGCCTGGCCCATCAAAGACGGGTTTCCACGAAGCTGCAGAAGCGATGCGTCCCGCAACGCTTCGATGGCTTGGGGCGACACCAAATGCGTGCGAATACACTGCGAAGATTCTGCGCACCGTTTACCAATGCTCAGTACGAAGATGC